TCGGCCACGCTGCCTCTGATTGGGAAGTTTTATATCTTTAGTTTCCGATAGATGTCATCAATATGCATTCTACCTGACACGTCACATCCTCTACCGATGACATCTCCCACTGACTTTTTGAAAATCAAGTGAGGATGCGCACCACTAAATGACCCATATTCCTTTGCGAGGTGGTTGGGTAGTGGCTGTATAAAGAGCGCCTGTTTCACAAGGTTAATCATGCCACTCTAAGAAATAACAAAATATCAAAAATTATTTTTTGTCACCACACAAGACACTTTCGACATTATTGATCCTAGAGGCATGTAGAAGAGGTCACCATACTCTACCATGGCGCTTTACTGCAAGGTAAAGCAAAAAATTAAATATTTATACGTGTCAATTATGGGAGTCTGCATATACATACCAGTCCATCATGGTTGCTGACGGCAACTACAGAACCAGGATGGGACACCACGTGGCCACTGTATAAAGTATTCTTGGGTGGTGTAGTATAGGATTTGCTTCCATTTTCATGTACTGTTTCTACAATGGTTCCTGGAGCTAATATATGTCTTGACTTGGTAACGTTCAAATGGAGTGTGAAACCAAACGCTTCCACATTATAAAACCAATTGTTCGGTTGATCTACACTTCGCTTCGTGCGGCTACGTTTGTTAAGTTTATGAGAAAGAAATGTCCCAGTTTCGTCTGCTTGGAATGGCGAAATGACTTCATACTCAGGTACTAACGACGACAACAATGATGAGGAAACAAAACGAAACAAAAGAGTCATTTGATGAAACAGGAGAGCAAAACTACTAAAATAAGTTAAATTAACAAAACTTGTCGGCATCTGAATATTTAAATGCAGAACTAGTATTGTAAACAGACCTTCTGAGTGGGAGTTAGCTCCAAAATATTTTGATATCTCCCTTTTTGTCATTCGATGATGGAGAGGTGGAACCTAAGAGCATGAATAACATTAAATAGCAATTTACCACTGATTTCAGAGTAGCTCGTAAACTCGGGAACAGTAGACTCGATTTGTCCATCAGGATTACACCCAAAACGTGTAAGCTCACTAAACAAAGTTTTGCACTTTGTGTAGTGGACGTAATTGTTACTGCAGGCTGCTAAATGGCATTTTGAGATGCCAGGGTGACGCAAGTTATAGTCGAAAGTTCGAGTCTTGGGGTAAACTTTCCTAAGAGGCTTGCTTTTGGTTTTCAAAAACAGGTCCCCTAGCGACGCGGCCTTCTAAAACGCGGTAATTTTGTTGCGTGTATTATTCCCCTTTAAACATCAGTTATGGTGAGCTCACTCATCGCCGTTCAAAACACTGATTGAAACTGTCGTTTTTGTGACACAGAGACAATTTCAAATCAGATTTTTATGAGTACCTTTTGGTTGATGGTGGACGTGGCCGATTCTAGAAAATAAAAGTAAATTTTTGTCACAGTTCAATTTGTATACGAAAAAAAGCAATAAAGCTATGGATGAATTGTTTAATCAATTTTTCATACCTGTTGCGATGCTTAAAGCAATGCCAATCAGGATCAGAGTTTTAGTTACAGGGAACATTGCTGCTGAGGGTTCTGAAAAAAAAGTTTAAAAAAAAAAAATTATAATCACTGGCTTTCTCAGTGAATTGAAATTCCTAGACGTATTCCTCTTAAACAGTGTACTTTCGGCCGGGTTGCATGCTTATAGTTAACTGACTAATTGTGCACTGCCTCAGTTAGCGTGATGAAAGGCAGTAGTTATATTTGAACTCCATTTGGTCGACCAAAGTTTGCCTATCATTTAGCATTATTTAAAACCTTAAGAAAAGTAACAGAGCTTTTTAAACCAAAGCTTCCTTGAAAGCCCCCTTGTTCACGAAAATGAATATATTAGCTTATTATGTCCAAAGTCGTCAAGATAATGTTTGCACCAGTCTTTTCCTTTTCGTCATGGGAATGCTTCATCTCTTGAACATTTTATAATTGTGGGGGAAATGTTTTAACGCCTGTTCTCAAACGCAAACTCTGCTTTTGGTAAGAAGAACGCGACCTGACGGTAGCAGACTCAGGTACAAAGAGCATTCCGCATGCATCTATGGGCTCGCCGTTGTGAAATGTTTCCTTACATTAGTTACATTTTTAAGGATAAAATGCTTGAGTCCAAAAGGAATACAACGGTCGAAACAAAAGCACTCGACATTTAGACAGATTAACCAATCTAGAATTATAATTTAGTCATAAGTCTAAGCAACGTCGGTTGAGTTTGTACCCAAACGTGGTCCCATACATGATACTTGTGGTCGAACTCTATACGGAGGCAGATTCCTCGGTGAAGCAATGAAAAATTAAAAGTAGGCCGGTTTTTACTGCCACGAAAACATAGCCAGCCTAATTCCAGAATCGGTAAGTTATTATTGAAATTTTGGAAAAATAGATTATAATAAGAATGTTTCCTTGGCTTAGAAAAATGTAGGTTCTGGTTTTGACCTTAAACGGATATGGCGAGATCGATCAAATTAAGCTACACAGGGTTCTGTTCGTTGGTTTACAGCGAATGAATTAGAAAACCAAAATGGTGAAAGCTTCACTGAGCTACAGAATAGTCTTTCTAAAGTAAAACATAAGCCCCTAAGAGCAAAACGTTACCTCGTTGTCTGCAGAAAAGCTCGTGTAGTAGTCTTATTCAAAAGGAACTGAGATTGTAGCAAGACAACTCCAAGAGCATGAGAAAATTACCTTTAATTTCCCTAAAAAGCAGATGTTATTTGTGTTTGTCAGCGGAAAAAGCAATGTAAATTAGACTTGTCTGACAAAACGTTTAAACTGTTTTGCTCATAGAATGTCAGTTTTTCAGAGAGTAACTGTATTTTCCCTGAAAACTGTATGAGGTAGTATAGTGCTTACGCAAATGTTGCCGACAGGTTTTTTATTGTCGGTTTAATCCTGAAAACCTCGTTCCGTATATAATTTTTTTATTAATGATATTTTTCTTTGGTAAGGTTCGCATCTATATCAATATTTATGCCATGGAAGGGTATTTTAAACAGAAAGTGTCAAATTTTTATTGACATTCGCTGAGTTAATCATTGCCCTTAACAATTCAATCTTGAAGTACGCCTATCAAGGCGAGGTGTGCTTTTATATTTTTTGAAGAATCTTTGACCAGACGACCCAACGCAACGAGAATTGCCTTCTTTGAAGTAATTGGCGATTTAGGTTCGTAAGGGTAGACACTCGCAAAACCAAGAAATCGCTGGAAATCGATCGGGTAAATATCATAGAAAGACATCAAAGCGAAATGTTTCATGTAGACCCATTACAAATTACAAGCAAACAGAATACTAAATCGCTTCATTTCTCGCAAGTGTCGCAGTTATTCATCTAAACAGAACGAAAAACGTACATTTAAGAAGACAGACTCCTCTGTACCAAACTGTACTTAGACATTTCTTGCTTTAGTCCATACGTTCTCTTAACAATTTCCTTAACACCCGGTAAGTCCGGATAACTCTCGATGACAAATAGTAAACAAATGCAACAACGTTTATTTGATTTCTCGCTCTTGCTCTTTTCCAGTTGTTAAACCCACGCAATTTCGGTAGTCAACCTAAATAATTCATGATTTAACATCTCTGGAGTCATAGCATATTCTTCCATAAAATGAAATGTTTGCCATCCACTGAAGAAAAGCGGAAAAATCTTTTCGAAACAGGTTGACACGATCTTTTGATGCTAATTGATCTTTCTCACGTTGTAAAATAGTTTTATGGACAGCCTAGGTATCCTGACTCTAACTCTTGGTCGTAAATATCGAGTTATTCCAAATTTGTACTCACCCCCTATCCAAAATATAGTTCAAGTCTTGTCAAAAATTGAGAAAAAGGGTTGTCGAATTATATGAGGAGACGAGGAGATTGACTGTATTTGTTTTACTGCTGAATGACAGAGCATTTTCAGTGTTTACAGACCAACCAGCTGCCCTCTGTTGACTTGAAGGTAAACACTGTGTCTTTTAAGAATTGCCTCAATTGTGGAAGTTGGTGAAATTTTGAAAGAATAAATAGTCTTAAAATGATTGTGAAAGCAACTTGTTTTTATCAGTGAACAATGAATGAGGGATTTGAGATGTGTAGATCTAGCTCTCAGTAACGCTATTTTTGCTTCGTTTCTGAGCGTGTATTGTGGCGTTGGTATCTGTGTCCGAAGTAAATTTGTTCGTGAGGTTAGACTAAGTGTAATACATGTAAACCCTTTACGGAATACCTACATTTCAACGTAGTCGGTGTCGTTTCCTCTGTAGGTCGGCGATAAAGCTTCAGAGCAGGGAAAAATAACAACGCCTTCTAGAGTTCGCTTCTATGCCTTAGCGCAAAAACTACCATCTTCTTACCCCTACCCTCTGCGCTGAAAAACCAGTGTGCACGCAAAGATGTAACAGATTGTGAAAGTGGCCACGCTAATTATTTCTATTTCGTTCCTCAACGAGTTCGCCTGTAGAACGACCGAGGTTATCGCGTTAAGATAAGTAAATAATTGATCCTCTCAGGTTGACTGCAATATAAAAGTTCATTGGAAGCGAGGGAGTTTTTCATTCAAGACATGACTCGAACCCATACTTCTTCGAATAACACCGGCCCTGATCTCTTCATCTCCTGTTGATCTTTTTTTAAGCGCAAATGAGATGAAGGCTTGTCATAGTCAAACCGAACGATAAGGACGACGGGAAGCCTTCCAGCATATTTCTTCCCCTGCGTGTTCTCATGAAACCATGAGACGAATGGCATTGCTGGGGACGAGTCAGACCCAGGCGGCCGCGCACCAGAGCATAAGCTTTTTTGGGTCAAAAGTGAAGAAGGCGTTTTCATATTGATTACAAGGGTTTTTTTTTTTACTATTGTCATGCCATTGGAAGGTTTCTGTCGAGATATGATGAAAAGAGTCACTATTTGGTTGTGTAAATCCTCATTCAACGCTAGGATGTTTCAGTACGAAGCGATTTTAAAAACATTGTTTTTGACGATAATACAAACACAGGATTTTGGTCTTGTTCAGATGGCTGGCCAGTTGCTATGTATATTGTAAGAATTTTAAAAGATTACTGCCATAACAATTAAAGAAATTTTCTATCTCCTCCGTAAATTTGGATTTGAAATCACAAAATAAACTTCGATTCCCATGGCATTAGAGTTGAGGCTCTTTTTTTAGTTATAAATGGCATAATTACGATATGGGTAGCTTTAATGATTTAAATTTGTCAAACGACCTTTACATGCAAATAAGCAGATGGAGATAACATTCGACAATGTGTGTTCTTTTTAAGATCTTTTGAATATTCTCTTACCTTGGCNAATGCTAGCATAATGTACAAAAGCCTAGCGCGTTGTCGTGTTGCTGTTTCTATTTTCTTCAATAAATGAAGAAATTTCCAGGTCGTCTAGCCGTTTTTCTTCGTTCGATTCATCTAATAAACTTGGATATATATTTTCCAGCCATTCTGACTCTTCGTTGTCGGAAATATGATTCAAATTGTCCGCTATTTTTTTTTTCCTAACTACAATTCAACTCCTCGCTTGCGCAATGCGAGAAAACCTGTTTAACCGGTACTCTAGAGTACAAACGCCGCGTGATAATTGTATTCGTCTATGGCGTTATTTGTACTCTACGAAGTGTACTTGGATAATAATGGGGTTTACTTTTCTATATGGTAATTAGAAAGTGCTTTATGAAGGGAATTTGGTGAAAGCCATAAATATATATTCCCTAAAGTCCAACTGTGCTCAAATCCCCACACTCGCCATAATATCTTTCTGGTTTATTTTCCAACTTGTTTATATCTTAATATTTCATCCACATGGAATGATAACGCATGATTTTGAATAAACGTTTTTGGTGAAAAAAATTAACTTAAATTCTCTATGCTTTCTTTTCTCAGGTGGCTTGACTTCGTCATTTCACGCATGATTCTTCACATGAAAATGGTCAAGCATCATCTTTGCCCGTCCACAGGTCGTAAAATCGTCTCTGATTTACATTCTAAACGCCTTTGTGACGTTGAGAAGCGGCTGTGCTCAGTAGAATACGAGTTGCAAGAGCATTTCAGAAGACTGGCAGACAACACCGTAAGGACGCTGTCCAAACACCTCCAGTCTTTTGAAGATATCGAGAAATTCACCCCGTGGACGCTTGAAGATATTCCAGATACTGGAGAAAATTGGCAAGTAATGGAACATGGTATCCAAAATGCATTTAAGAGGCGACTTGAGAACACGATTGACGGGTGGGAAGCCAAGAACCATATTTTATCTTACACTTGTAGCCCTCTGGTCCAATTCTGCAACTAGCGATTTGATGAAGGTAAGAGTCTACTTCCATTCCGATACCTAGGGAACTCCGTTATCACGGATGATGCTG